CGCTTTTGCAGATGTCGATTGCTTTTTCTAGAGTGAGTTGTCTTTCTTGCAACAGCTTCTTTCTCAAGGCAGGCTCTTTAACGCCAAACACTATTCTATTACATATAAGTGAATCATGTAAACACTGACAAAAATTACACGACTTCGCAAGTGTTCTAAGTGCCAATACATAGTGATCAATACTTTCATCCTCTTTCTGTGATCTGGAGTTAAATAAATACCGCTTGAAGGTCTCATTGGTTTGTCTGATGCAATATTCCTCAAATTTTTTAACAACAGAGTCGAGTACTTTCGAACTTTCGGGTGGGTTAAATGTCATACCTTCATAAATTTCAAGAGCTTCTTCACCGATCACAGAAAGAAAAGTTGCAGTCTTATATTCTTCGTTGCACTGCTGGAGTCTCACAACTACGGCGTAATTATCCCAGGCTCTTTTAAATTTTTTCCAGTTAGCGGCAAAGTTGTCAAGATTTAACGGTTTCGGCATCGGTATTCCACTCAGCAAAGGAGACATTTGCTGCATCTGTGCACTTCCAACGGACGCTGTATTAGTTGTATTTGTTGCCATAGTTCCCTCGTCGCCTGACATCTTGTAGTTATGCGGCGATTTTTTATCCTGACACCATGTTTCGAAGCTTTTATTCGCTCAGCTAACGGTAGAAGACTAAACTAACGATTCAAAATACATCATTTATATGTACGGCAGAAAGTCTGCTGACAATTACAGCTACAGAAATTTACATATCGTAACACCTTCCTTTTTAATACGGATGGAGCACCAGTTTCTAAATCTTCAAAAGTTTCAATATGGCCTTTATTTCTGGTGATCAATGAACTACCGTATGAGAAAAGGATGGCAAAAGAAAACATGATTTTTGCAGGGCGCTGGTTCGGGGACAAAAAGCCCACTATGGCAACTTTTCTGAAACCCTTGTATGAAGAACTTAGTTTTCTGTTAATGGACAAGGGTATTACAGTAGAGTCTTCAGAAAGAGGCAAGTTTTTATGTAGAGCTGTTCTTCTAGCTGGGAGTTGTGATCTTCCTGCCAGGTGTTTGGTGTGTAACAGCCTGCAGTTTAATGGAGAATATGGCTGTTGGAAATGCTTTCAACAAGGAAGAACAGAAAAAAATTGGTATTCAAGGCCACACAAAAATATTTCAGTATATAAGGGATAATCCAAAGGGCCAATTGCAAAATAAACAGGATACTACAAAGCACTCTTATGAAGCATTGAGGAACCTTCAATCTGGCCAGAAACAATATGCAGTAAAAGGAGTAAAGGGGCCATCCTGGCTTTTATTTCTGGAGAATTTTGACGTTGTTGTGGGAATGGGAATAGACTATATGCACAGAGTTCTATTAGGCGTTCAGAAACTTTTGAAGTTGTGGTTTGGCGACACCTATTCTAAAGAGCCCTTCAGTTTTCGGCACTTAGTTGGAGTTTTAGATGATCGACTAAACGAAATCCTTCCAACTTAAGAAATAAGGAGAATGCCAAGGTCAGTATCTGAACACTTAAAACACAGGAAAGCGAGTGAACTACGTTCATTTCTGTTGTTTTATGGAGCTCCCGCTTTGTATGGTATTCTTTCTGAAGACTACTTTCAGCATTACCTTCTACTCGTAAATGCCATACAATTGTTGTTGAAAGACTCAATAAGTGAATCAGATCTCGGTGAAGCCAAAAATTTGCTGTTTAGTTTTTGTTCCAGTTTTCCCGCCATTTAGGCGGCACATTTCACTACTATGAACATTCACCAGCTGTTGCACTTAGTTGATAATGTACATGACTTGGGACCACTTTTCACTGACAGCTGTTTTCATTTTGAGGATAAGAATGGTTTTATTTTGAAATTTATTAATGGGACACAGTAGATAGACAGACAAATATCAGCTGTGTCCTTCACACAAAAGCTACCAGAAATGTGTACAAGATACATCCTTCATCACTTAGAGGCAGACAACTTATATTGCGACCTTTTAAGCAGATACTCCCCTAAAAGATCTTGTGAACTTGCACCTGGTATTTTTGCTTTGGGAGCCCCGCAAAAACGCGAACTAAATGAAGAAGAATTCTTGGCAGTAGCTGAATTCTTTCAATGTGTCCCGCACACTGTCAACGTAACCTCCTTTGTTCGGCGCACGATAAATGGGTTTTACATTTATGGATTAGACTACAAGTGCTTAACAAGGAGGAATTGTTCCACGATCAAATACTTTGATGGCAAGGGGTACAGTTTTGCTCAGGTAAAATGTTTTATTCAGATTGCTGACTTCTTCGAAAATGTTCTAGATCTTGCATTGTGCTACCCTCTGTACTGCGAGAGTTATGACAACTCTACACATATTAACGTTGTCTCACAGACGTACCGAACCAGACTCATATCAGTTGATATTAAAAACTTCTCATCGAATTGTATATTTATCAGTTTAAAGATGATCTTAGCCGGGCTTATGTGTGCTAGTTTCCCAACAAATTGGAGACCGACTAAAGTTGACAAGTCGTTTTAACTATTTTCAAAGAAATACATATTCTCTATAATGCCGTTTATTCACAAGGTTCAGAATTTACACAGTGCTCGCAAAATGCAAGCCTGGTTAGCATTTCGAGAGAAAAAGTATCGAAACAGATGTGGTCGCTGAGTGATTATTCTCAAATTTTAATTGCTTAAAACTTAAAGTTGAATTTACAAAAACAAAACCCCTTGTGTAAATAAAGATTTTTGCCGGGTGTACTTATAGCAGTCGTTTATATAGAATAGTAGTGAGTACATGTAGTTTCAAACAAGGCTCAAAGTGCAGTCACTCATAAGAAGCATGTTTTATAACTGTTGTTATGCTCAAAAGCTGTAAATATAACACATGCTTCTGGTGAAGTCGTGATGTAAGTGGCCTTTTGTAATTTGTCATGGTTTTGGCAACCAGACGTAGAGCCATAGTAGTATGCATGACACGTTCGTGATCTTGAAGCTGATAATTGTTTATCTTTTGGCGGTACATGTTTTAGTTGTTTTTAAAACTGTCATGTTGACAAGGCCCACCTGGCTGTAAACTAAGTAAGGTATTTAATTTCTCCCGTTACTTTTTTGTTAACGTACAACTTTAATAAAGTGTGGAAATGAGTTTAAAGTAAACAATCATTGTGTTGAGTATTTTTAGACTGTACTCTATAATAAGGGACGCGTACGTGAGCGATGGATGTTCGCTTTTTGTTGCTTATGTTTTTCATGTTGTATCGATTGCGTCACGAGAAGAAACACAGCGACAACAACCACATTGACGCTGTTAAATTTTGCTCATATGCACTTGCAAAGTATGCAACCTGAACGATCTTGGCAACTGAATCAATGACGGGATTCGGTGGAGTGTGATCTTTTCTCTTTACGATTTGTTAAGGGAGAAACAAGACTCAACTGCCCGTGTGGAGTTGTGAAACTCTGATGCCCTGAAGAATTCACACATGTCAAGCTATCAAAACTAGTGCTGTGCTATTGGTCAAATCCTGTAAGAAAACAAATGTTTATTATTTAGCACAGCTCAAGCAGTACACACCAGTACACACCGATCTCAAGCATGATTCTAGTGCGAATCTGACTGCAACATTAATTCACAACTGTCGTCGCCTTTTCCCAAAACGTTCAATGAGAAAACAACAGGCATCCTGTTACTGAACAATTACCTGGCGTGGGGACGTCTTACTTTTCAATCACGTAGTGACCCTGACCCCGCATGTTATGAGTATTATCATGTTCATGCAACGACAGTACTCAAAGCATGCAGACACTACTTGATTACTGGATTATGTTCTAGAAATGGACAAGTTCGGCTACTTGAACATTCATATACATGTACTGCTGTTCATTGTGGATCTTAAGTCGATTGACTCTTGCCTACTTTCGGATATCCAACAATCGCTTTCAAAATCATCAGGAAAAAGCTGGTCATGAATTAAATCGTCTTCGGAGGAAGAGTCTTTGCCATTTACTGGCCCAGTTACCATTGCGATGGCTAAGTCATTTGATCGCTGGTAAGCCTATAATGTAGAATTTATTTTACGATTTTTATATATTGTGCAAGAAGGTTCATCTTCATACAGCCTGGGAAAATTGTGCACGCGGTTAAAATTAGAATGTACGCCAGATCAAAACATCACGATAATGCCAGAGTGTTACGAAAGTAAGGCTTATGTTTGGCAAATTGTTAGGTTGGGGTTTACATTTCTCACAGCCAAAAATATTTTGCTTAACACTCGGTTAATTTCGGATGGACCACAAAACCCTAACAACGATCCTCTTTTTTAAGGCTCTTGTTAGGATTACCAAAGGCTAACAAGCAACCTAACATTACCCTTGTTTTTGTTAGCCTCTCTAGCTGTGAGCCTAACAAAAAGTTGTTGGGCTGAATTTTGGTTCTTGTAAGACCCTTGAAACCTTTTATGTACGTTTTCAGGCCTTTGTTAGGCCTGATTTTGGCTCTATTAGGCCTAATAATTTCGTACGGGTAGACCAATCGGACAGTCACAAAGTGCTGTACCTTTGACAATGATGCTATTTTTTCATCTTTTTGCTGGAGTTGCTCCTCCATTTCTGCCTTTAGAGACTGGTATTCTGATATTTGCTACAATAATTATAATATAACATATATATAATACCACAGATACAAAAGAAAATAACAATCTCGTAATAAGACCATAAATACAATTCTGATCTGAAACGTTGTTTCTCTTCTGTCTTTCACCTCCTTTTCCAAATGTTGAATCTTCGTGTTCAGTTCCGTTTCATGCTTTTTTTGCTAAACACAGACACAATTACTAAAGTGATTATTGACAATTTTGCTTGCAGCCGAAATAATGGTTCAACCTTTGTTTGTCTTTTTCAGGAGTAATTTTTTCATGTGTTATTACACAGGTATATATCTTATGGCATCCCTTGAATTAACTAATGCAATCCAGTGGTTAAGCCAACTAGTATTTCAGAAACTTTAGTATATGTACTAAGTAAACTGTGTTTGATTACAGGGACACTTACCATTTTGACATTTGCTCTGTTGAGGTCTTTTTCAGTCTTGAGATTCGTTCTAAGCTCTTCTACTTGGTCGACCTATTGTAATAGTGTTTAATACATTTAAAATGCAATATCTTTTTTTATTACAGAAGCACACGAAATTTTTAGTCAAATTAACTAGAAAACGTTGCATTAATGTTAATAGGTGTTGACTGTGATGGTTTGTTAACCCTTAAGCGTATAACATCATGAAATTTTGTTTTTTTCCCTAGATCTTGCTGATTGTTTCATTTCACTAGGATCAGAATCAAGATTCAATTCAGTTTTACACTTTGTCAGCAAACTAAATCAAAATATTAACTCTTAAAATTGCACCATCTGATAATCTACCAAAGGTACTTACCAGTGTTTTTTTCTCTTTTGCCCACTTCTCATTTATTGAGTGGTCTTCGTCTTCTTTGGACTCAGCAGCCCTTGCGGCCTGATTAAAAAAATGCTCCTTAGATCATGCCTTGAATCATTCTTTATAAGCATGTACCAAAAATTACAAAAAACTAGCTCCACAACAACATTTAAGAAAAAAGACACTGAAAAAGTTGCACAAGAATGAAGAAAATGGGTTTATGGCGTCACCTCCTTCTGTTTGATGAAACCCTCAACCAAAACTTCACCAGCTTGTAAGGACAAAAGAGTTTTATAGATTTCTTCTTCTGGGGTTGACGCATTGAGCCACTTAAAGAATTAGGTGTTGATAACAGGAGTAGATTTGGAACTTGAAGAGCC